GTCGCTCTCCACCTAATCCATCCAACGTCGTAGTGGAGTTCTTCCTCTTCCTCTGCGTCCACAAGCGGGTACTGCATCGAATATTTTTAAAGCTGGAGTGCTTTCATCCGTTCGGACGACATGACCCAGACAACGTTCGCTGAACTATGTCAATATCATAGTTTAACTCGTACAGCTCAACGCTCCATCGTCTGCAATATTCGCCGTTGCCTATGCGCAAAGGACCATAAATCGTTCGCGAAACTTTTCACTCGCAGGCTACCAAAGCCGAATTATCAAATGTTGTCATCGTCCACGCTCTCTGCGCCACTTAGGACGGATACAATGAGCGACTTGTAGAGTTTGGTTTTCGTTCACCGAGAGAGGACGTTTCTTTTCAATTGCCTCCTCAGTACGAACAGACACTACGTTGGAGAGAGTGAGTTTGCGTGGATTTCCAGGCTGGCATTGTTCTTGGTGTCAAACCGGCTCCGAGATAGACGAAGTTATTTACGGTTTCAGAGTTATGCCTGCCAACAGTGACGTGACAGCCAAGTCCCGACTGCAATGACTTTTTGTTTGATGGCAGGAGATAATCTTTGGGGACTGCAAGTAGTTGTACACTCTTTTAAAAGCTTGTACCTTCTCTATTCAGCTCTGCAGCCCGTATTATTTTCTCCAGAAATATGTTAAAAAAGTCACACGATAAGGAGTCATCTTGTCTGAAGCTTCGTTTGGTATCAAACGACTCGGAGAGGTCCTTCCCGATCCTAATGGGGCTTTTAGTATTGCTTAAGGTTAGTTTAAGGTCATTTTACACAGTCGTATAAGTTTTGCAGGGATACCAAATTCAAACATAGTGGCGTAGAGGCAGCTCCTATTCGTGCTGTCAAAAGCAGCTTTAGAATCGACGAAGAGGTGAGGTGATGGGTATCGATACTTTTGTCACGAGTCTTTTCCAAAATTTATCGCATGCTGAATATCTGATCAATGGTTGATTTACCAGCTCGTGGCGCCTAAATTATCTTTAGATTTTTGTCGATCAGGAATGTTTTCTTTCGTTCGCACCATGCAGCGAATTGAACTGATTCGACGTGCGCTCCATTTAAATATTTGCATAAATATTGTTGCACTACAGGGTGCTTCATCTTTTATGTCGGTATGTAAACGCTGAATAACTTTCACATTTACTAACCGAGCGATTGCAGCAGATATGTTTTGGAATTTGTCAATTCAGTACAATTTTTGCCATGGATCGCTTCAAAGCGAAACAACGCGCTGAAATGGTGACACTTTACATTGAAAACAGCCCTTCCAATGTGTGAACTCAACGTGCACATCGGAAAAAATATCGCGGCAAAAAGACAGCAACACCTTATTTACCTCCCCCGGGGTCTTTTTTTGTGGGGTTATCTGAAAAGACAGGTTTACGCCAACCAGCCTCAAACTATTGATGAACTCAAGGCAAACATTCGTACTGAAATCGACGCTATAACACCCGAGAAAAAAGGAGTAATTTTGTAGTTGCCACTTGATTGATCTTGTTTTCAAAAACTAGTCCAAAAAAATTGTATGGAACTAAGCTTTCGTACATCACTTATAGAAATCGGTTGTTTCGTCTCAAAGTAATTCCATGTTTACATACTGACATACGAGATGGAACACCCTGTAATAGCTACAAATGCTTCTATATATGTTTCTGTTTGTTTCCCAGTGAATTAGAAAATTTATAGGCCGACACTTTTTGCACATATAAATCCTTATCCGCAAATAAATCCGAATGAATGCCAACACCCGGCGCACCATATTGTAACGCATCGAGTTGAGATTGAAAATTTCATTTAGCCGTGTGATTTTCCACGTACGCACACACATAAATGCATACACATTCACTGTACCATAAATAAACACGTTTTTCCACAGAAATCATTTACACACCTATGTATGTATGTATGTATGTACAATACATGTGCATGAAGAATTGTAAAAGAAAAGCGAAAATCTACAACAATTGGAAAAAAATAAACAAACAATAAATATGTTAAAGCCAAGCAGTGACGTGCGTGCAAAAACTGTGTACATACATACATATTATACATACATACATAAATACATACTTACTACGAGTAGTGTGTAGTACACGCATGTAACACTTGACGGCTAGGCGGTCTGACTTGTGATCGCTTGTCGAAACCAGTCATCGATAGTATCTGGATGGAGACCTACCGCTGCTATTCTAAAGCCAATTGCGTTTATAGGCATTTTTTTTAGATTTTTTTTAATCAATTTTTTTATTCAATTTTTTTTTCACATGAAAAATCACCAATATTTGCACTCGCTTCGTTCGTTTTTTTTTTGACATTTTACTGTTGTCTAGAATTAGCTTCTGACACATAGCCAAACCAACTTTACTTGGCTAATACCGTCAGTCGGCTGATTGCGTTCACATGGTGGCTTTAATTGACTGTGAAAAAAATTTGAAATTCAAGTATAGGAAAAATATGTACATATCTATTTGTATGTACATAAAACAATTGCAAGTACTGTGGACGTATGTATGTATGTAGAATATATGTGCGGCTACAAGCGTATAGTGGAATATTTAGCTAACATTTCGTTGTTGATTCATGCGAATTTACCGCCTGACCTCCCCTCACATGGTATACATGTATGTTTGTATGTATGTAAATATGAGTCATGTGCCAGTGCTGAATAGGTTACATTTTGTCTCTAAAAAGAATAAGACATTTTCAACTTTTTGAGTATTGAATTTTTGTTTTGGTTTTGGTGGTTTCTCTAAATTTTTTGTGAATTCTTTTGAAACAAAATGTTGCCAAAAATCTTTAAAATTGAAAGTACTACACAATGGATGAATTATTTTCGGACAATTTTGACTTATAAACAGTTGTAAAGGGTGTTTTTTTTGGACGTTTGTTTTCAAATTAAGCAAACTGAAGACAGAAGCAAGACGCATGCGCCGACAAAAAAAGAAAGAGGCCAAGATGCGTGAGTATGCAGAGCTTGAGAAGCTGGCCGAAAGGGCTAAAAGAAGGTTTCAAGACCAGATGAAACTCTTGTAGGACGCAAAGAGAGAGATCTAGTTATGGATGCTCAGAGTTTAAGTGAATTAATGGAGTGAATACTTCTCAAGCCCGCTGAATGGCAGTGAAAATGGTACACCCACGTATGGTAAACCCGAAATCTCAATCGATGACGATGGAAAAGACTTCCCACTACCCGACTATGACGAGGTTCGAATTGCGATTGCCCGTCTAAAGTATAACAAAGCGGCCGAAGCTGACGGCCTAGTGGCAAAGCTATTCTAATAGGGCGGTACTTTGCAGAATTTCGTCGGACGAAATCATGCCCGACGATTGGAACCTAAATGGGCTCTGTCCAATCCACAAAAAAGTGATCCCACAGTCTGCGCCAATTACAGTGGAATAAGTACCCTAAATATCGCATATAAGGTACTTTTCACTGAAGCCCACTGTCAACAAACTAATTGGCCCCTTTCAGTGTAGTTTCAGGCTGGTAAGTCAACCATTGAGCAGATATTCACCATCCCCCAAATATTGGAAAATACCCGTAAAAAGAGTATCGGCACACACCACTCTTCGTCAATTTCAAAGTAGCCTTTGACAGCTAGGTAAGGAGCCGCTTTGTCTGAATTTGGTATTCCTGCAAAACTTATACGACTGTATAAACTGACGCTGAACAACACCAGAAGCATAGTCCGAATTGGGTAGGACCACTCCGAGCTGTTAGCTACCCAACCAGGTTTAAGACAGGGTTACTCTTTATCGTGTGATTTCTTCAATTTAATGCTGGATAAACTAATAGGACCTGCAAAGCTGTATAGACAAGGTACAGCTGCTGACGTACGCCGATGATATTGACAGCGAAGCATATGGTCTGGTAGTGAATGCGGGTAAGACCAAATATCTCCTGCATTCGAACATACAGTCATTGCATTCGCCACTTGGCTCCCATGACACTATTGGCATAACGTTGAAGTTGTAAATAACTTCGTCTATCTTGGTTTAACACCAACAACAATGCCACCCTGGAAATCTAACGCAGAATAACTCCGGCCAAAGACGTCTTTGAATTTGGGCATTATACACTAGAGTAAATGTGGTGCGAAACCGACCTATGGTCGCTCGAATTGTCGACACTGCTAGACGACTGTGTCGTTCAAATATTGCCCGCAGCGGGCGAATCGTCGCTCGAGATGCCGTAAGTGCGCGCCAAAGAGCAGGGCTTCGAAGAAGACTCGCAGGAGTCCATCTTTCAACAATTGGAGCTATGCGCATCCACTTTATGGAAGACTTTGAGCATAGATCTTGGTTTGCGGACTTACAAAAACCCCACTAATGCCAGAATTAAAGCCGAACGACCATCAAGCACCTTGCTCGATCGGTGTATCGGCCCAAAAGGAGCCAAGCCATTAACATGTCCTCAAGAAGTCACTGTTTAATTTGCTTTTTGGACAGCGTAAATCATTGTTCCACTTTTCTTAATGTGAATTGGGAATGCTATAGAGCCATGGTTAATGACTTTCGTGCCTGAATTTAATGTAGACGACCTTTGGTTCTAACAAGACGGCGTTACATGACATTCTTTACAACCAAACAATCAATTTAGTGAAGGAAAACTTTTGGTGAGCGCATTATCTCTCGTCGTGAGTTTATGGCGCGACCTACACGATCGTGCGATAGACCGCTCGACTATATTTTGTGGAAGTGAAATGGCTCGTCTTCGAAGATAAGCCCGAGACGATTGACAACGCAACGCGGTTATTCACCACATATAGGCCCATATTGCTGCAAAAAATTGTAGAGTTGATTAGGCAACTCGGATTGTCTAAAGAAACAACTTTTTTTAATTTTATTTTCTTCATAAATTAGGTTCGAATGTAAAACTTTTTGGATTCTGACAAATATTTCTTTCTATTTCTATTCATTCGCAGTAATTTTGTAAAAATTATTAATCGAATTAACTTCCAATTCCATTTTCAGGGAACAAATATTGCGCGTAAAAAATGACGAGAGCATACCGTTCCTGTTGGTGGGCAACAAATGCGATTTGAGCGACAAACGCAAAGTGCCGCTGAACGAATGCCAGGCACGCGCCCAACAGTGGCAGGTGCCCTACGTGGAGACCTCAGCAAAGACGCGCGAGAATGTCGACAAGGTAAGTGTGCCGTTGGCAGTGTGTGTGTGTGCTTGTGCGCGCGCGAAGAGTATGTATGTATGTTTAGCGAGTTTATATATGTGATTAATTGTCTGTTTCTTTGGAAACGTTTGGCATTTTAGTTCACAATTATTTCGAAAGAAAAAAAATAACAAAAAGATTTGAACTCCGTCAGCTTGCTGTGCTGTGTTTTTTATTTCTCTGATGAAAATTCGTTTTATTGTATTTTATTTTTTAAACTTTTTTTAATATTTTTTAATTTATTTTTAATATATTTTATTTTGTATATTTTTATATGTACTTATACTTTTCCTTTAATATTACTTTAAATTTCCGCAATTTACAGTTGATTACTTTTACTATTTTTTATTTTTTATTATTTTTATTGCTGACCATTTTCCTTTTTGTACTCCTCATCTTCCCTAAGCGCAAAAGCAATATTATTGTGATTTTGTATTGACTTTAATTAACGTCTTTATATATTTACATATATACATAGCTATTAAATCTTGTGTCCGTAGTACCAAAATGCGCTCTTTTGTTGTCGTTTTTGTGTTAGTTCATTATTAAACATGCATACATATATTTTTCATTAAATTTTAATTTGCGTTTGTGTTGTAGTGCAAATATCATTAATACATACCTACATAAAAATAGTACACTTTGCGAGCAAACCATGAAAGCATACATAATTGTGTTTTGTAAGCTTACAACTAAAAGAACTAATTTAATTAAAATCAAATTTATTAATAAAAGCTAAGAAACTACATACGGAAAAAACGTTATTAAGTTACAATAAAAATAGTTAAAGTTCATAAATAATTGCAAAATGCTTAATTTATGAAAGATGTTTAAAAGTAATTAATAATTATATACATATCTGCATATTTTATATAAATGATACATATAAAAATTATAAAATAATAATCTTATCCAATAGTGTAAAATAAAAAATTAAAAAAATAATATTAAAAATTAAATTAATCAAAAAAAAAATTTAAGCAAAAATAAATTTAAAAAAAGACAAGTGAAAAATATAAACAAAAAAAAATTAAAAAAAAAACAAATTAATGTAAAAAATAAAAGGAGATAACTTAATAAAATTAAAAAAATAAATAAAATTAATTAAATAAAAAAATGGAATAAAATAAATAAATTAAAAAAAATGAATAAAATAAATAAATTAAAAAAAATGAATAAAATAAATAAATTAACAAAATAAAGTAAAACAATAAAATTAAATTAGTAAATAATCAAATAAATAAATAAAACCAAAAAATTTAAAAATAGTTGCAACAAAAAAATTATAATTAAAAAAAGCTTAAAATCATTTAATAATAAAAGAAAAAAAGTAATAAAATTAGAAAAAAAAAATAAAAAAAAAAAAATACCAAAATAAATTTAAAATTTAAAAAAATACAAAAATAAATTTTAAAACTTAAAAAAATACAAAAATAAATTTTAAAACTTAAAAAAATACAAAAATTAATTTTAAAACTTAAAAAAATACAAAAATAAATTTAAAAAAAAAGATAAAAAATTATAAAAAAAAAGATAAAAAAAAATTATANAATGACAAAAAATACTAAAAAAATTATAAATCTAAAAAATGAAACTTCTAATAAAAGAAAGAAATTTAAAACAGGAATAAAAATAAATTAAAAATAATAATAAAGTAAAGAATCAAAAAAAAAAAAATTCTGAATAAAAATAAAAAAAATAAAATAGAAATACAAAAAAATAGAACAAAAATAGGAAAAAATTAAACAAAAATAGGAAAAATAAAACAAAAATAGCAAAAAATAAAACAAAAATAGAAAAAAAATGAAACGAAAAGAGAACAAAACAAAGCAAAAATAGAACAAATATAGAAAAAAGTAAACGAAAAAATAGAAAATTAAAAAAATTAACGAAAAAATGGAGTATATTTAACAAAAATAAAACATAAAATAAAACATAAAAAAATAAAAATATAAAAAAATAAAACAAAAAGAAAGAAATAAGGCGAAAAAATAAAAAAATTAGATCAAACAAAATCAACAAAAAAGTTAATTTTACAAAGTTCAGAAAATAGAAAAAGGAATGGAAATAAAAAAACTCCTGTGCACATACTTGTGTTGTGTATTTAATAAGATCCTAATTAATTAATTAAACTTAAGTTTAAATTCAAATGAATCCTTTATAGTTTTATAACGTATATAGGGTTATCCATTTCGTAATTTCACAAACACAGGAGCGTATTTTGCCTTTTGTCCAATCATACATGTTTTTTTTTAGTTATAAGTCAGGTTTAACAACCGCCCAAATCATTCGAATGGTTAAAACCTTCTACAAAAATGTTATTTCAAACGTGACTTTGCTTCGTGCTTTTAGAGACGCTTTCAACAACCGCCTTTTTTTTGGCTTGCAATTGAAGAACATGACTTGGACAATATGTGGTGCCACATGCCACACAAAACGTTCGAATAGAGGCTTTATTGCGAGAGAAAGTGCGTTCAGACACCGTTGGACTTTCTTTTTGACGGAGCTACGCGAAAGATCATATTTTATGCGGATAATCCCTTAAATCTTGAGCACTTGAAAACCAACATTCCCCCAGACAGCGCGCAATATGTGCAAAAGGTGGTCGAAAATTACCGCAAACGGATCGAATTTTGTAAAAATTTGCGAGGTGGTCATTTGAATGCTGAGGTGTTTCACGCATATAATGCTAAGGTTTTCAAACTTTATAATAAAAAAGAAAATATCATGAAAAATATTATTTTAAATACATTTTATTTACGTTTATTTTCGAAAACACAAAATGGATAACCCTGTAGTTTCTTTAAGGACTAATGAGTTGTAAGGATGTTACCTTAAAACCCACATAGGAAATCCAATATACATATATACATACCGATACTTAAAAGGTTTCTCAGATATCAGAGGGAACAATTCGCGGACATTCAATTCAATAAATTTATATTCGAAACACAAATTTATATTATTTATAAACATTTAATTATATACATTTCTCCGCTCAAATTTAATTTTCCAACATCAGCACATTGAATTGGCGAAGTATAAAATCATATAATTTTTTTTTTTTAATTTCTTACTTAATTTTTTTTTTGCAAGTAGAAGTGTAGAATAGTTTAGTTGAATTAAATTGTTTTTCTTTAGCAATTATATTATTATTATGGCTGTATTCACAATTTAATGCTTAGGCAATAAGCAAACTGAATAAAAATTCTATATAAAATTACGAAAGAAAATGTTCCTCATCATCATTTTCTGTCTCTCTCTCTCTTTCTCTCTCTCCCTCTCTCTCACACGTTGTTTTCTTCTCATCACACATTCTGCTCTCTTTTCGTCTCATGCAGGTGTTTTTTGATTTGATGCGCGAAATAAGATCCCGCAAAACCGAAGATTCAAAAGCGACAAGCGGGCGTGCTAAAGACAGATGCAAGAAGCGGAGACTTAAGTGTACACTACTTTAGGCGTATTTGTAGGTGCATAATAAGCAGATACTAAGCAAAAATGAAAAATACAAACAAAAACGAACAAAAAACAAAAAAAAAAAATCTAAAAGTAAATAAAATTACAAACAAATATTCAATTGTAAAATAAAAGCAACAAGCGAACAAAGAATGTAAAAAAAAAAAATGAAAACTACTCTCCCCCAAAACTATCCCATCCACCACAAGACATCACATCGAATTGATAACAATAACTACAATATGAAATTCCTAACCGAATTACCGAGAAACGTTTGTAGTATGTACCACCTTTCCTAACTTTTGTTTACAAAAAAAAAAAAAAAAAAAATAATATTTCTAAATTGTTGGAAAATTTTAGAATTATTAATTAGTTTTAATAGCTTTCATATTAATATATGTAAATTGTAGAAATGCTACTTTATAATTGCTTACCAATTAACTTTATTAGTTGCTTTTTAGAACGCTTTTTAAATTAAGTTTGCTTCGTTCTTAATACGAGCGTAATTTGCTCAAACAATTTTTATTATTTTATGTTTTCACTTAGGTTTAAAGGATCTTATTTTTTGCATGCACAACTAACCCTACTTTAAATACTAAACTCTCTTGACTTGGGAACTCTTACTCCGAGCAAAATTTTTCCATAATTTTTTGTCACATGAAAATTTATCGTTATCAACATCTTTTATTTATTTAATTGTCTTAAAATTGTGTCATCAAATGAAAATATGAGTGTAAAATTATAAAGGGTTTACCAAGAAGAAGTGTTAATTTGGATCGCCTGCTATAACGACAGATGCCACTTTTGAAGCTGTTATTTTTTTTTGAAATTTGACAAGTAACAACTACGCCAATAACAAAAAAATGGTACGAAAAACGCTTCAACAACGCATTGATATTATTAAAATTTACTATAAAAATGGTGAATATTAGGAAGAGATGAAACGTAAAACTGAAACATTTTTCGGTCGTCGGGAAGCACCTTGTAAAACCGCAATACAGAAATCGATGGACAAATGGAGCTGTTGGAAAAAGTTTTTCATGTAAAGAATAAACTAAGTACACCTCGCTCAAGAACAACAAAGTGTTGAACAAACCCCAAATTTGTTCATTCCCGTCGTACTTTGGAGTTGGAGTTGGGTATTCCACAAACGTCATTACAATCTATTTTGCTTATGGATTTAGGTCTTAAGGCTTGTAAAGTTCAATTAACTGAAGAAGATGGCCGATCAGCAACAACGTCGTGCCTTTGCTGGTTGAGTCCTCGAAATGCAGGAAAATTATCCGTAATCCCATCGAAAATTCATCTTAACTGATGAGACCCCTTTCCACCTCAATGGCTACGTCAACAAGCAAAACTGTAGCATGTGGAGTTCGGTAAACCCCAGATTTATTGTTGAAAAGCCTCTGCATCCTCAATAGTTTGGTGCAGTTTATGGTCTGGCGAGGTCATTGGACCTTACTTTTTCGAAAATTGGCCTGGAGCAACAGTCACAGTAAATGGATTGCGATATCGAAGGATGATTCTATAATGGCTGGAATTGTATGCTATTGATCTGGACAACGTTTACTTTCAACAAGACGGTGTTACCTGCCACACAAGCAACGAAATCGTCGTTGTTTTAAGAAAAAGTTTCCGGACCGTGTTATCTCTCGAATAGGCGATCGCTATTTACCACCGAGATCTTGTGATTTAAAACTTTGCGACTTCTCCCTTTGGGTCCACGTGAAAGATAAGGTCTAGGCCAAAAGACAAATGTCGATTCAAGATCTCAAAAATGGAATTCGTGAAGCTATTGATGGCATACAGCAGCCACTTGGCGATTTGCTGATGGAAAAGTTCTTTAAAAGTGGTGGCCATTTGACTGATATTGTTTTACATTATTAATGGCATATCTTTCTCGCTCCATTGGAATAAACGTTCGAACAAAAAAGATCCATTTTCTTTGAATATCAAAATAACACCTCTTATTGGAAAACCCTGTAACATAAATACATATGATGTTATTCTGTACATTTTCTAATGGCTCTTTAAAATTTAGTTAGCGTTGGCATTGCGATAAGGATAAATCCTTTTGTTTTAAGTTGGTAATACTTTGCCTTGCGCCAAACTGAGCACACAGACACATTTAAACGATCATTGATAGAAAGCGGTCATCGGAACTACAGTTCCAGATTGACACCGAATATCATCGAAATCTGAAAACTGTATCATATAGTCCCGTCTCAGTGGTGATAAATGATATTTCCCGCCGAATATTGGCCTTGAGCTGAGCTATGGTCTGCAGCTTGCCTGTGCAAACTTTGCTCTTTAAATACTCCTACAAAAAGCAGTACGGCGACGTTTAATCGGGTGAGCGCGGCGGTCAGTCGATATGGCCGTTTTTCGATATGATCCGTCGGTCGAACATCGTGTGGATTAGCGTCATTGAATTGCAGGTAGTGTGCGCTGTGGCTCTGCTCTTTTGGAACTACAGGGAACCTTACCATTTTCAGCCATTTCCGGAAACACAAAGTCAAGCAAGCGCACCATTGATCGTAACGGCATTGCCAGCCTCGTTTTCGAAAAGGTACGACCCGACGATCTATTCGGACGATAGGCAGTACCAAAGATCATGTAGAAGTTCCTCGAATATCTCACGGCGCAAAAACAACCGTTTTAAGCTCCATCGCTCATGATGATTTTTAACCAAAACTCACCATCACAATGGACGGACCTCGTTGAATCGGTTTTAGTTGATTCATGACACAAAATAGTTTGAAATGACGAATCGAACAAGCCGAGAGGAGGTTTATAAGTTCGCGGCCTAAAGTACTTAATGAAACAATTTTATAGTTTTATGTTTATGTCGAGTACTCCCTTTCTGATGTACCTAGCTGAGCTACCACAGCTTCGATAAGATGCCTATTTCGGTATTCCCTACTGTAGCATCCCAATGGGAATTGATTGTACAGCAAAGCATTATGCTCCTTAACTGGTAACATAGATGCTTCGCTATGCAAGTCATGCTCCGGCGACATCAGGAGGTTTCCTCTCGCGGTCCTGAGGACGGTGTTCTGGCAAGCCTGTAGCTTCTTCATCTGCGTCTCGTTCGTCCCCGGCGCCCAGATCGGTGCAGCATAGTTTACGACCGGCCGGCCAATTGCTTTGTAAGTTGCCAACAAAGTTTCTTTGTCTTTACCTCAGTTGCTGCCGGCAAACGCTGAGGTTGAGTATTTTCTTGCGGCTCTGGAGTTTTGCGGCAATTGCGGTCGTGTGCGGAGTGCAGGCTATCTAGTGATGAATTTCATTAAGCTTACCTCGAAGTCTGATTCATCAAACCACAGAACATTCGACCAATGTTTTTTCGCGAAATATTAGTATCGGCGAGCCCGTTTTAAATGATTTTTCATATTCTTTTCTGAGAGCCACGGCTTCTTTCGAGCTTTACATCCTTTTAAACCTGCTTCCCGAAGACTTCTTCTAGCTGTTCGAGCACTCACTGGTTTACTAAATTCATCCGAAAGGGCAGAAGAAGATTTTTTGCGATCCTTGAGAGATTCGCGTATAAGTATTCGGTCTTCTCCTTTACTGGCTAGACGCTTTCTTCCACTTTTTGATTATTATTGTGGGATTTCGTCTCTACAAATCGCCTGATTGGACCGCGCACCGTGAACATCCCACCAAATTGGCAATCTCAACCTGAGACTTACCATCTTCACTTAGAACTTGAATTCTAACTCTATCATCGTAACTAATTTCGCTTTTTTTTAGGCATTTCGGTAAATATGAACTGTTTTTATAAGATTGGTAACTTTTCACTTTCAAAATTTTAATGCGGAAATATTTTATGAATTTCTCAAAAATGACAATTTTTAGGTTAAGCTTACCCAGAGTGATATGACTTTTAATATAACACAATTTATTCGTTTAATCAACAGTTAAACACCCATTGATAGCCACATTTGAGAATACTTGTATTTTGGTGAGGTGCCTAATACTTTTGGCCAAGGCTGTATGTATGTGTCAATACATCAAAAAATGGCAAAAATATTCAAATTTCAAATGCTATCGCAACAGATGGCATACCCTGTACATCCATAAAAGATTTCGACTTTTCTTTCTTATTTTTAATTATAATTTTTATCCTTAGGAATATACACACACACGTACATATAGTTGTATATTAAATTATTATGTAGAAAAAAAATTAATATAATTTTCTTCATAAATTTGAAACACTAACAGCTACTAAAATGAACACACCCCATTTGTGTTGCCTATTGTTCTTATTATTTCATGTTATAACCGCTTGCTTGTGGTATTCGGTTTCGATTTAAATGGCTTTATTCATTCTCTCATTATTTCATATTTGTATTTATGTATTAAATAAAATTTTGTCAAAATTTATTTTAATATTTCTGAATGAGTTTTTGCTTGCTTATATGTAAATATATGATTTCATGTTTGTTACTTTCAGTTACTGTAGCTGTTGATACAAAGAGTATTTCAATTCCAAAAAAAAAAAAAAAAATTAAACACATTTTCATCTAACCCCCCTCCGTTACCACCTTTATCTAACCTCATTTTTCTTAGACTAAAAACGAGTATTTTTTTTTTTTTAATAAAAACAATTTTACTAAAATTTACTGTTCTCTATTGTATATTATGCACAGGTATTTTATGATTTAATCAGGGATATTTCATCACGAAAGAAACAACGTCAGTCCGATGTGCGACAGCCGCCAAAAACCAAATCTCATTGCTGCCAACTGCTGTAATATAGTAAATGATATGTGGAAGAAGAAAAAGAAGAAGAAGAAAACGCAAGTAATGATGACTCTGCATTAATTTAAATGACGCTGATGTGCAAGCAGACCACAACATAAATTGATTGCCGAAAAAAAAAAACAAAACTAACAATGACAATGACGACGAAAGCATCAGAAGAAACATAAAAATAAAAAATAAACAAAATTAAAAAATTAAAATTAAATTATGCATTAAGAGAAATTTAAAGAAACCCCAAAACTAAAACGAAACTTTGTTTTTGAAAGCAAAACATAAAAAGAAATAATAACAACAAAAAGCAAACAAACAATTATATATATGTATATTGAAAGTTACAAAATGCTGTGTGCGTAATTTGGTAAAAAATATGTAATTTTGCAATAAAATCGAAAAAAAAAAAAAAAAAAAAAAAAAAAAAAAAAAAAAAAAACAAAAACAAAAAAAAACAGTGGCATATGCATAAATTTTGTAAAGCTGAAACTTAATTCATTCTTAAATACGCGCCACTTTCAATCACATGCTTACATACATACCAACATACATAGTTACATGGTTATACATATACATAGACACATACATATATAAAACATACATAAGTATTTGTATTTAAAACACCAATTGTTAAATCAATCAAGCAAACGTATTGTATTCAATAAATGAACAAATGAAAATGAAACAAAAAACCAAAACTTAAAACATAAACCTTGCAGACCGTTTTTTTTTTGATTTTTGTAAATTACATATTAAATGTAATATTTATTATAGTTAAGCATTAACAACACAGACACTTGCATATACTTATGTTTACATACCATGTACATTAGTGTGCGTAAAAAAGTAACCCACTGCGTTTGTGAACATGACATACTGAGAAAACAATATCCATGTTAGCCGGCATTTTTTATGCTCATTTTTATAGGGCATTTCCATGACATTCCAATTACGTGTTTCGCTCTCTCAATTACGAATGCGAATTACCTCCATTCACACGCCACGCAGTTTGACCGTTTTCGATTTTGCTTGTTTGTTCCATTTGAAAACGTATGAAAATGAAAGTTTTTAGTGGAAGTTAACAAAATTTTGAATTGAATTGAAATGTAATGCCATTTTTTTTAATAATTTCTAATTTTTTTCTTCTTTAATATGCAAATAGTTTTTGGTTTCAAATCAATGTTTGTGAGTTAGTGTCTTCTTTTATGATTCTCCTCTCCTTTGTTTTGATTTGCCAGCTAGTTTCGATAAGAATTAGAGAAGGCAACGATTTGGTCGTAATTCGCTTGGTAATTGAGAATGTTCACTGTAATTCGCTCACGAATTAAATAATTCGACATGTACTGGGAGTACGAATTAGGATTGAGAGAGTAAATTACGTAATTGGGCTGTCGTGGAAAGGCCGTATTAAACAGTTTCAGTCAGCATTTAAAGTTTCTTATTTCAAATTACACAAAAAAATGTTTTTTTTTTTTCAAAAAAACTATTACAACTTTTGAATTGCTTAGGGTGGAATAGCGAATGCTGTAGCATAAATTTTAACATTCTTCTGACATCAATAATTCGTATTTGAAGAAGTTTGAAAAAATGGAAAAAATCAAAAAATGCAATTTTCGTTTGAATTTAGCACTTTTCAAGGCTTCGAAGTACATACATTATTACATATGTATATGTATTAATTATTTACTTCAAAACAGTCGTCAACCCAGTTGATACTATAAGAAATTTTATGCTATTTTAAAATCTCCTAAGCATAAAAATTTAACTTGAAGGGCTAAAAATTTATAATAATTTCAATAAAAAAAAATTTCTGAAATTTATATGGCAGATATTAAATGATCACTTATGACACAATGATAATTTAAAAGTATTTTGATTCACTTGATAAAAAATTCTCCTTTTTTTTAAATAAAAAAGTGGAGAATTTTAATATTTTTTAAATTTTTAAACGTCAAAAAATCATGTATCATATTGTTTTTTCCAAACCCTAATAGTGGACTTCGGCCGGGAATGTCAACACTTCTGAGTGTGTTTCTGATATGAAATAAAAAGGCTCCACATAAAAAGTCATTAGCCGCTTGGCGGAGGCTTAATATAAACTACAATTGTTGGAAAAACAACAGAATGTCAGTTAAAACATTTTTGTCATTGCCAAGAAACTGCACAATGAAATAAACATTTTTTTTCTAAATTTATGACTTATTACTCATTTTAATGTTATGTGTGAGCTGCCTTAGCATTTACTACATGTGGGCGGCGACTAACTTTGGCAGGTCATGTTCCAATGGAATTCCACCAGTATTGCAGATTTAAGCGCTTGTCGATTTATGGGCTGCCTTTTTGCCAATTTTTTCTTAAGATAAACTCACAACTTTTCAAGGAGGTTGAGATGGCGGCTCTGATTATCATATTGTGTCGATGATTTTGCCGCAACTGTATAGGAGCCGTGTACGCATATTGAGCACCTTATGCTTAGATTCATTGTGCTGGTAGAATTCTAAAGTCGGCTTGTTGTTGGAAAAAAATTCGACTTTCGCTGCATTTGGCTTCAAATTTGCTTCCAAAATTTGGCGATACTGCACGGCATTCATGGTATTTTTTTTTTTTTAAATGCCAGGTTTCCCACTCACTGGCTGGAGTTGCAGCCCAAAATCATAGCCGACAGTTTGGTTGGGACATCCTTGATGTAAGATTTGAATATTTAATTTTCGAAGAAAAGTCTTCAATTTAGTTATGATACAAATCATCATACAATATTTATTTTCATGCTTCTGCTGCCTTAGGAGAAATACAATAGAAAACGTGATTTTTGAATGTTTAAATATTTAAAAAAATATTTAAAAAAATTCTCCACATATTTTTTAAGAGAAGAAGGTAGCACGAACAACCGAAACACATTTAATGTCGGATAGCTAAGAGGCCGTTTGCGAAGAGAGAATGAAATCATCTTTAAATTATTGTATCATGAGTGAAACTACCTTATAGGATTCTTGTATGCTGTGCTCACTGACGCTTTTTAAAAATTATTTGAAAACTCTTGGCTTACAGGGAAATTGTTTTCTCAGTAAATGGATTCATTTTAACTCATAATTGTAATAGTATATATATTGACTCATCCTCATATACATACATACCAATTTCAAATTAATTACAACAAATTTTTTATAAACAGTTTACAACTCGATTTGAACGAATTTGTGTAGAAAGTGAACAGTGGAATGAGTTGTGCTTGAAACAAAAGTACACACACCTGACCACATACATATGTACAGTATATGTTTTGTGTCTTAATTGGTTTTTTTAATCGACCAAATAACAGTGTTTAATGTCTCTTGTATACGCAAACAGTTTTCCTCACAGTTAATGTTTTTTTTATAAATATAAAATCCATATATATATAAATTAAAATGAAAGTTGCCTGAGTTGTCAGCCTGTGCAAAATGAAAATAATACAAAGTATTCACCTAAAACAAAAAATTTCTTTAAAATATGTTTTCGTTATCCTTTTTGACAAGGCTTGTTGTACTATTTTGGTTATATTTTTGTCGTTTGTTATATTTATAATTATAAAAAATTATTCGAACAGATGTTATTGTTAGCAAAAGTGTAGCATATCTCTAGGCGTGCGAAATCTGTGTGCGCGAAACGCCAAACAACTACACAATTTTCGGTGCTACTTATGGTGTCGTACTAACATCCAAAAAATTACATGAAATAAATTTAAATAACTAATTAAGTTAAATTTCCTAAATGCGATCGCACCTCGGCAGGGAATTTCAACCTCTCCGAGTGTATTTCTGACATGATATAAAGCTTCTCGATGAAAGAAACTTCGAAGGCAGCTTAGTATAAACTGTCAGTTCCTCCATTTGTGGAGCAAGATGCAAAACCACAAATTGGAGTAGGAGCTCGGCCGAATATCGCTTCAGCGGTTACAAAGCACCAATTGTACTAACGAAATCATAATAACAATTTGACTTTTGTCTTTGGAAAAATTCCTGTCTTTTTTAAAGTAGTTCACTTGAAATTCCACTATTGAAAAGAAATAAAGCGAAAATAAAAAATTTACAACAATAATGTTGAAGGCTTTCAATTAAGTTATGTTAAAATATGGCGTTACCGCTGCTCAACACCCTGGTGTGTAATTGGTATCTAGAGCTTTAGTTTGATGCAGCAATTACACAAAAATTTTTCTGCAGACTAAATTTTTTTTTTTTCAATTCTAGTGAGAGAACAAACAGCTTAGAAGCCGAACGTCTGCGTGTATATTCCTGACATGAAAATAAATACATTTATCCCTTCGGATGCGGGAGTAGAAAAAAATTGTAGGTTCCAACATTTGTTACCACACAACGCGACCGAAAATCGTTTCAGCGGTTAAAAAGTGTTTCGTTTTTTCTAGTTCGCTAATCGGTATTTAGCACAAAGAAATTGATATAAATATTTTTTCTTCATAAAATTATTATTAAACTTTTTCTCGTACACTTTGATAAAATTTTTTCACATTATGCCATATATGAATGTCTAATTAAAGAAAAAATCATTAATTACAGCATATTCTAGAGCGTATGAAATGCATGTTCGATAATGAGAACAATTTGAGCAGCAGTTTCTGGAACTGCATGCCTGCTATTGGTGGGTATATAAGATAATTTCGCACTAAACTACAATTGTGGTCAGTTAAGTGCGCAGAACCCAAATATAACACACTAGTGCAAAGTGAGTAAGAGTTAACTATGTGTGTGGGTGTGTTTGCAATAAAGATTTTTTTTTATATATAACAATTCAGTGCTCGCACCCGTGGGATTTGGAAAGTCATCGTGGTTTTAATTAACGAAAATTGTTAAAATACATTTTTCGCGCTTGTTTTTTTTTTGGTTTAGTTGCAGTTAACAGTGCCCAGAAGTATGCTACACTTTAATAATATACAATCTTTATGCTAACGCAGCAGCAATAAACAAAAATTTCGTTCAATTCTTGAGATGTGAGGCAATTTTTTTTAAATTTTTCCAAATAATTTATTTTTTACGTTTCATTTATTTATACGGCGGTTTTTGCATTCGCGTTGCTGATGAATTCGTGATGAATTTTTTATAAATATTTTTTTTTTATTTTAAAAAATTTTTTTTAAATTTTTTTTTGTGAAAAAAAGCACGAGTATATAAAAATGTGCGACTATAAATTTTTTGTGCGGTGTAAAAAAAAACTTTTAAATTAAATTCTATAC